TGGTAGAAGTTAAATAAAAATTCTACACAGAAGAAAAGGTTCTTGAATAGATATACCTGAGAGGAATTTACTAGAACCCAGAGAATGAAGAATTCAAAACACTTCGTCATTCCTAATGAAAGATTTACTGGAACACAGAGATGCCATGAAAATCAGCTGAGGTGAATGAGCATGTGCAAAGAGTGAGGAACCATAAATAAACATTCAATATTATGATGACGTTGCTTCTCCTGAACCAGCCTCTACCCCTCCTGCCCCCCTCTCCCTGCTTTCTGCGACCTCTAACCCCTGCACACACTTCTATTACTTTTTCGCTTAAACATTTGGTTATCCTATACTCTAAGGTCCCTGAGATGCTGCACAATGACTTACCCAGAGTGTATAGAATGGTGCCTGGCACATAACTGAAAATTTTTAACTGTTGATGCTTTGCTTTGAAATTACCCTACTGAGACAGCCTTTGCAATTGACATTTAAAGTCACACACTGATAAATAACAATTATAAACAGAGCATTGCACTAGTTGCTTTTCCACCTGATCTCATTTGACAGGTATTACCCATTTTACAGATAAGGAAACAGGCTCAGCAGCCCCCTTTGAGCTATGGAACTCAATTGTGACCCTACAGAAGCCTCCCTATTGAAACCTTAAATAGTTAACAACTTCCTCACCTCTCTGTTCCTCCATGTGGCAACTCTAATATCTATTTTCTCTAGGCTCAGCCACAAAACACTACATAAGAACAGTGGACTTTGCCCATTATAAATCCACGTAACCTAACTGGAACTAGATTCTCACTGCCATTCTTCCTGCCTCACAGGTTTAATGCCTTTCAACCTTCTTGATCCATCAATCCCTTTCCACTTGTTTTCAACCATCAAATCCTATCAAATTCCCCTTTGTCACTTCTCTCACATCTTCATCTTGCTTTCTATTCAGAGGCCCAAAGCCCTGGTACATTAGTTATGTCATAAGCCTAAAGGGTCTTGAGCCTATTCCGGTCTCTTCTCTCATCTACCCTGAGTTCTATCATGAGACCAGTCTTCCTAGACTCAAAGTGTTCCTAAAAGAGATTTTGGATCATGCCTTTTTCAGAATCCTTCCATTGTTCCCCATCGCCATAGGACAAAGACAGCGTTGGCACACAAGGCTCTCTGCTCTTGTCCAAAGCTATTTTAAATTCCAGCTACCCTCAACACCAACTTTCTGCATAGGCTAAACCAGCCAATGGCTGATTTACCACAGGCTACCCACAAATGTCCTCCTCTTTCTATCTGCCTATGAGATCCTGCCTGTGCTTCAAGGGTTCTGTCCTATGCCCTGTGAAGCCTGCCCTGACCAGCCCAGCCTTTGAGACCCCTCCTGTTTCGGAATACCTACTGCACTCCCACTGGACTCAAAGCACATATAGTGTACTGCCATTTCCTAGTACATTTTAAAAACTTGAACACAAGGACTGTCTTCTAGTGACTTACAATAACAAGCACAATGTCTTGACTGACACAATCTATCTTAGGGCTTTCCAGAGACAAAAGACTTAGGTTAAAAAAAGACCTAAATTGACTTGCTTCCTGAATGTGTTTTCCTAATCAACAGACCTTTTATGCCATTTCCCCCACCCCCACAGTTGGCGAAGAGTACTGCCAAGAGGAGGGGTATGAGCAATTAGACAGCAATGGCTTTAGAAACTGCTGACACTTCTAGTATGCAGTTAGCGTATAGAACACCAGTAGCAAGCTCTCAGAATCCTAAAACCCCAGCAATCACCAAATGGGTGGTAAACATCTTGCTCTTCTTTTGCCTCTCTGGGGATTAGTTAAAAAAAAACCCAAAACAACAAAAAACAGTATTTGAGGTTCTAGGACATGAATACCACAAGACTAGACTGAGGAGCTATCCAAGCCACTTTCCAGAACTGCTGATGTAAATTGGCCCATTTCTGAAGAAATACTAAAGAAAAAAGACTGCTGTCTATTTTGCCATTAAACTGCCCTTCTCATACTATATTCTTTTTTCTCTTTAACTTAATAACCACATTCAGAAGAGGAAAAGAAATGGGATAAAGTTTTTAAGAGTCTTTAACTCTCTGGGCCTCAATGCTCTCATCTGTAAAATGAGAAAATTATGTGAGGTAATCAAGTAACCTAACATTAACATTTTATGAACCTAGGTTGTTTCCTCACATATTCTAGATAGTTTGCCTTACTCTGATCCTAACATCTGGAGTAGATCCAATTGGAAAAGTGTCCCCCGCTATGCACTATATAAATAACACTCAGTAAAATCTGCTTTGAGGCTTACGCTTTGGAGCTAGACCAAGATACAAATCACCTGTAAGAGAAGCTGCTCAGCAAGGTAACTGCTTGCTGGCTCCATTTCCAGCATAGAACCTGCTTGGCAAAAGGGCCTCATTCCCACTCCTCAGCACTGATGAGAACAAAGAGAAACAAGGGATGGCATGAGGTTGCAGGGCCTCTGGCCCCTCAAAGCCATGTACCAGTGAAGTGCAACTGGTCACACAACACAAGCTGCCACACCTGCATTCTTAACCAAGGACCAGCATATGTGGTTACAAGTATGTCTGTTAGTGGCAGTTATGGAAAAACACTTTGATATGAGAGGAGGTGATTTTTACTCCTGTCATTAAATTAATGAAGTGTGTGAAGATCAAGTTGGGAGGTGGAGTGTGTATGTAGTAGGAGGAAATCCTCACCTCCTCCTCTGCCTCCTTCAGCAAATGTTTTCTTGAGGTCTTTCAGATCTGTGACTTTCCTGATTCTCAGTTATTCTCTCCTTGTTAAGCCACTTCACTCCAAGGCGAGCTATTATATCCCCAGCTCAGAAATTCCAGGGAAATCACATACTATGTGACCAACCACCTTAGCCAGAGAGCTACCAGTTGAGGCAATAAAAGAGGAGCAGTCAGAGGTAGATGAATGGTAGGGTCTGAAGCACTACCAGACCGGCTAGATGATGGCTGCCTTTGAAAAGTTTAAAACCTGGCCACTTAAATTGAGCCTGACTCTGACCTACTCTGTTTGCTTTTACACAGGTGGTGAAAATCAAAGGGGTTCAGCAAGATACACCCAGTGTCACATAAGAAAACTACCTTAGTAAAGAGGTAAGCCTGCCAGAGTCTGCTAGCGGAAGATGGAAACAATTTAGGAGTCTTTCTTAACTTGTGAGTCTGCTTTTTCTTTTCACATGGAAAGCACAGTCAAGCTTCTATACTCAGCAAAACCAAATAAAACAGAGCTCTAATGCTGTCTACAAAAAGTCAGGACTAATCCGATTTTCCTCCAGGTGTAATTAAGCTGTCTCCATAATTCTCCCTATAACCATTACCAGCATTCAAAATTTGTATCTTAGCCCTGGCCTTGTAGTTCAGTTGTTTAGAGTATTGTCCCAATACGCCAAGACTGTGAGTTTGATCCCCATTCAGGTCACATACAAGAATCAACCAATGAATGCATAAATAAACGTAAAACAAATCAATGTTTCTCCATAAAATTGAAAAAAAGATTAGCAAAGAAAAAATGTTATATTTATATTCAAAACTTCAAACCAAAATCAACATTACACTGTTTCTTCTCTACCTTATTAAAATGATTATGATTCCCCTTTTAGCTTCAGGTCATTCAATAACAATGGTTTTAAAACTGTATTCCAAGAAGCCCAGTTAAGACCGTGGTTTGGGAGGAAGGGACAGGGATGGAGCAGATCACCTCTCCCATAGCTGCTTTTATCTGCCTCCCATAGCTGCTTTTATACAGCTTACATGCTGTATGTTTGAAAATTCTAATGCCCGCCCCCGCAAAAAAAAGGACCTTAAAAATCACTGTGGTTAATAGACTAGACCAACAATTTTCAATCGGTAAGCTGCAAGAATTTTTAAAACATGCAATACCTGACTACTGTATTTTGCCATGTATAATGCACACTCATGTTTTTGGCCCAAACTTTCAGGGGGAAAAATAATCTTTCATTTAAAATTTTAAATTCAATTATTTATTTATATTTAGATACTTGGTTTTTTTGGTATGTAAAGGAATTTTAGCATTTATTTTTTAACATATTATGGTACAGGAAATTTTATGTAACAAATAATTACAAAACACAAGAACAGACACAAGGTATTTCAGGTACTAACCATGTATAATGCACACCCATGTTTTTCCCTAAAAAGTTTGGGCAAGAAGTGCACATTATATGCAGCAACAAACAGGTGTTTAGTCAGGGGCACTGATCTCTTTACCCTTACATTGTCAAATAAAAAAATGGGAACAGCCAACACAATAACAGGTGTTTGGAGTGAGTGAATCACAACTGTAACTATTTTTTTGTCAATCAGCAAAAAACATATTTTTTGGTATGCTACAGAATTTTTGTAATTAGCTTATGTGTGCAATGAGATGAAAAAAGTTGAAATCACTGGACTAAACTATCATATACAGTGACTTACATAACTACAAAGGCATTGTTTGGTTACATGAGAATTACAACTAGCCAGCCCTCCATGACCAGGACTAGCAGGAGATGAAAACAATGTAGTAAACAAATGTAATTTATTGAAATCCTAATTTTAGCTAATGGTTTCAATCACCCATCTCCAACTGCTCTTTAATCCCAGCAAACAATCAGTAAAACAGAGTTGATCTTCTGCTAAAATGTACAGGCAGTAACAGGCAGCCAAAGTGAAAAGAGATTTGATCACGTGAACCTAAACAGTTGGCCTCTATGTTATTTAGTTATTAATCATAACATACTAAATGAACCGCAGACCAGATCTGCTGCCAGATGCAGGATATAAATGGACATGCAGAGAAGTCAGCTCCCCCACAATGGTAGGTAATTACGGCATACTATATTGGCTATGACCCCCAAGCCATTTTAGTTAGTTCCCACTACAAGATTCTGACTCCGAACCTGGGTCATTCTGTTTCAATAGTAACAGGAACGGAAGGGCAGCCAGGGGGATGTGAGGCCTGGTGCAACTCACCTGTGCAGAACTCCTTGCTCCCATTGTGGGGCACTGTGATCCGTCTGTAGACAATGGGCTCTGACTCCAGGATGTTCTCGTCATGGCGGTACCGAGCAGGCCTTTCATTTGGGATGCCCCGGGAACGGGTACCACTTTTCCTCTCATAGGTATCAATCTCCTCAAACACAGCTGCCTTGTCAAACAGGGCAAGGTTCCCTTCAAAATCAAAATCTGTGTCTGGGATCTCTTCAATATCATCCCCGAAGCACTCGTCATCTTTATTCTTCATTTGGCCATTCTTTAAACCACTTTTCTTTGGAGTTGCCTGATTTGGGTGCCTGCTACTAGATGACCCTAGAGAAAAATAGGGACTACAGTCAGTGTGCCCACAGAAAGTGCTCGGTGAAAGTAGAAAATGCATTCATCCTTTATGGGGAGTGCTACAGGAATGAAAGTGAACATGGTAAGCTATTCCTCAATCATATTAAGTAGCACAAACTACCATAAATTTCATGGAATAACAGATTTCACATATTACCCAAATAACAGTGAATATGAAATAAACAGTACTCTTGAAAATCTTAATCAGTTCTGCCCTTCATAAGGAAACCGGTAATGAAAGAGGCTTTTTTGACAAATGAATATCAAAAAAGTGAAAGGGCAAAAATACAGTAGTCTCTTTCGGCAGGTTTGGGTAGTTTCATTCTGAATGTCTGGTAGTTGTTTAAGAGAGAAATACTCCAATGTAAAAGGCCAATTCTCATAACCTGAAGCTCAAAGGAAGATGCTATTCAACTGGCTCTTAATTCTATGCCTACCAAGCAAGCAACCTTCTGATTTTTACTTAGTACCAGACTAGAGCCCAGTGGGAGGGAATCCCTGATTTAGACTGATTACAGATTCTGAGCCAGATATATACCTCCCATTATAAATTGGTATTTTGACTTATAAACCTGTCCTTAGACCTTCTGGTTAATGTGATCTCTTTTCTCAGAATTTTATCATTTCTGGGTAAGCAATTTCTGAACCATCAAGTAACAACAAGGGCCATACTGACCTGATCCTGTAGAGGCCACACCAAATACATATCAGCAACAGGACAGCCAGCCACCCTTTGTCTCTGAGACTCTATGTAGCTGCCACACATCAGTCAACTATTCCCCTAGTAGCCAAGGCAGAAGACGCCACAGAGTTCTCCAAACCATCCATTCCCAAAGGATCCTGAATTGAGTTTGTCCTCTGATCCCCATCTGACCACCTGAAAAGGTGGACCAGGTGACTGGTATGCCAAATGGAACCTCCAACATAGTCTAAATAAATGTAAGGTTCTTCCTTTGAGAGACTGAGTTCCTCAATTACTGAAAATACTCAAATGGAGGTTAGCATGATCACAAGCAAACCCCCTCACATACATCATCCCAACCGTCCTTCTCTAACTCTTCTCGTGGCAGCAACTCCCTTCTACCCAAAGGTCCTAGGATCTAGTTGCAGTTCTGTCAGTAACTTGACATATCATCTTATATGTGTCATCCAACCTCTGTTTCCTTGTACAGAAAATGTTCACTGTGGTATTCCCAGCAGAGTTTCTGGCACCTAGCACTCAGTCAATATTTAATGAATTAATCATCACCAGCAAGATTAATTACAATAATTATTCTGAAGGATGTGCACTATGCAAATTTAACTTTTATCCTAGTTTTCCTAATTCCAAGAATTGGTATGAAAACGGGCTGTGGCTGGCAGAAGATTTAGGCCTCTGAAAAAAACTAAGGTTGACCAAAATCATGAAGAGGAAGAAGAGCTGGCTGGGCCATCATGAATGGCTCAGATTAATTATGAACCACTGAGAAGTTTGTCAGTGTCTGGGTTGAGTTCTAATTCCAGTAATTTAATAAAAGCATTCAGTGTGAGAATGCTGTGTGCCACAGCTAGGTGCTAGGAATATAGTATATAATCAAGACAAGCTATTCCAAAAGGGAGGAGGAGAGATATATAAGAAAAAAAACTAAAATACAATGTGATGAGAGTTAATAATGGGAGCTTATATAAAGTGCCACAGAAATATGGATAAAAAATCAAAACTGGATTAGGAATGGGAGCGTAGGCATGGAAATACAACGTCAGGATGACACAATTAGTAATATATGTTGGCAGGGGAAGAACTAGAGAGAAGTAGAGTTTGCAAAATTATTAATGTACTGCCTGAGTACTATATGAAACTACTCTAAAACAGGTCTCTAGCCCAGTGGTCTCTCGCCAGTGGGTATGGCCATACTCAGGAGTGCACAGGATGATCCATTGGGAGTAGGAGATGATACTACATATTCTATTTACATTTTCTTTTAACTAAAATTAGTAAGAAATCAAGCTTTATGAATTTAATGTATGGGTGGTGACTGGCACTCTAATGAGGTTTCATGTCAGCTAACTATTTCCAGTACTTGAGATATCTGAGCAAAGAGTGATGCTCTATAACAAGAAGTGAACATATACAAGTAGAGTTACATCATTTTAGTGTGTCTGGTAAAATACATGTACTATAAAATTTACCATTTTGATCATTTTTTAAGTGTACAATTCAGTGGCATTAAGTACATCCACATTGTAAAACTACACAAATTTTTAACTAAAGCATACAAAAATGAGTAAGTGGCTTAAAAACATTCCCATAAAGAAAATATGTATTAAAGGGAATATTAATAATGCAATCCCAAGTAAACAAAAGTATGGCAGAGCTAACACTATCCGGAGTGCTTTTATAGGCCTTCTTTAGCCAGCATGAGGATTGAAAATTACTCTAGTCAGATTTATAGAGATGAACTCCCAAATTAAAAAGTATCAAGGTTATTCCAAACATGAATCCATTTGACCTATCACTGATGAACTCTGCCCTAAGTGTAAATGCACTACATCAGGAGTCTACATACTACGGCCCTGGGGCCAAATCCAACCCACTGCCTGTTTCTATTAATAAACTTTTATGGTTTATTTGTTCACATATTGTCAAAGGCTGCTTTTGGGCTACAGAGGCAAAGCTAAGTAATGGAGACAGACCTTATGGCCTGCAGAACCTCAAATATTTAAAATCTGACCCTTAAAGAAAGTTTGCTCGCCCTGCTCTGCATTATACCTCTCAAGGTATCCTTTCTAGCTATGATTGCCATTAAAATAAAAATTTTAATTAGCTGAACCTGTGACCAGTTCTTTGAATATCTGCTTCATTCAGAGTGTTAAGTGTGTCACTTATTAAACTACTGTCTTTGAACTCCACACTCATCCTCTGTGATGCATCACTGGAACTCTACAAACTACATTTTTCCTCCCTTAGCTGGCTTCCTGTTAGGTTCCACCACCAGCAGTAAGTAACTGAAGAGACTGGGAGAAAGAAGGAAGAAGGAAGAAGGAAGAAGGAAGGAAGAAGAGACTTTGTCCTCCTTTGCTTGCTCTTTGCACCAGCACTGCCTGGCAGCTGGTTGCAGTCTCCAGCTTTTCTTTCTGACAAGCCCAGTGTAGACACAACCTGCTTCACTGCACCCCCTCAGACGTACTGGAACCTGGAAGTTCTGATAACCACAGCCCCCTGACTTTGTTTCCCCTTCCTCAATGACTCTTTTTGCTTTTTCAATTTTCCAACACTTACTTAACCAATGCCTTATATTATTTTTTTCTGAAAGAACTAGTGGTTATTATATTCCTTAGTGGTTTATAAAGATTTTAAAAATTAATGATTCACAGTTAATCACTCTAACTAAATAATGTTTAATAAGAAAACATTTTGAAATATTTGAATAAAATATTACTGTAAAAATAGTTCATGTTTATTTAATACTTTTTAAAGATCTTTAAATGAAGTGAAGACCTTTTTGAATTACAGACATACAGACAGAAAAACAGAGCTTATAGCTTCAATTCTAAAATCTCAGACAGGGGTACAGAGTAAACAGAGAACTATAAACATTTACCAGTCCAGATATCAAAGAGCTGATCTTCTCCCAGTGGGCATAAAAATCTTAACTGATTCGAGCACAAAGTCGACAAATAATCAGAAAAGACTTTAGTAAGACTAACAAAGCTAAGTTCACAGTTAATGCTGATGCTTGTAAGGTGAAGTGGAAATTTCAAGGGGAACTCTCATTCTTGTCTTTGTAACTTTATTATTGCTTTTAACTTTTATAAAAAGCATGTATTTCTTTAGTAACCCAAACCTAAATTCAAATAATTGAAGAAAAAAAAAAAAAGTTGACACAGCAGATTCTCTGCTGTCTCCCAACCAACAGAGATTAGGTATGTAGAAACATTAATCTCTATAGAGATCAACAGGTGTTCAAACCATAAAGCCAAACACCCACTGCTGCTACCAATGAGAAATAGCTGAGCTCTAAACAAACCAAAACCACAAAACAGTAGAAAGGAAAAATAGTAAAGAAACAAAGTCAACCAAGTTCCATTGCTGTTTTGGATTTATCCTTGGGAGCCAAGAAAAGATACACCTGGGGTTTATCTTCATATGCTCATGACGTGCATCACGGGTCATTTTTTAAACAGATTTACTGAGGTATAACTGGTATACAAAAATCTGCACATATTAAATGTATTTATTTTGATTAATTTGGACATATGCTTATACCTGTGATACCATCACCACAATCAAGGTAATAAACATGTCCATCACTTCTCCCCACTCCAAAAAAGGTCAATGACTCACAGTTAATCACTCTGTTCTAATGAAATGTTAGTTTTTTAAGAAGCAAAAAATATTCTGAATCATTGAACCATTTTTTAAGCCAGTAAAATATCACTGAAATACAGTTCATGTTTATCTAATCCTTTTAAATTTGTACTTTTGTCTCATATCTAATGTAAAATACATAGTATACAGATATAGGATATATATTAATAAATTGATGGTCTAATCAAGAGTCCTTATCAATGTCACAGAAGTAGGTAAATTCTAAAGAAGGAAGTGCAAGAAACCTAATGAAATATCATCATATCATCAGTATTATGAGTCAAATACTTCATGCTTATTTTAAAAGGCACTATTTAGGTCAAAGCATAATTCCTTTGAAGCTGAATATAGCTTATTTTAAAGAAAGGAATGGGGATGGTCTACATGAGTCTCTTCATTTCAGCCAACTGTGTTTATAATCACATCTCTGCTCACTAAATCCAAAACACCATTTCATTCATGGGAGTATTCTGATTGGCCTTTTGTGAAATATGCAGTCATTCGAAAACTTTTCATTAAGCATCTGCTGTTATCTATTGGGATCTGTGTGAGATGCTAGAGGGCAATGGTGAAAAATATCAACATAACCCCAGTCTTCACCTAATGTTAGTCACCTCCTTATCAT